CCAATGGCCGCTGGGGAGTAGAGGACATGGAATAAAAAACAAAAAAATTGTAATCATCACTAAAAAGCTCCACCATGCATCAGATACCTCAATAATCTATTTCGAACAGAGTAAGCCTGTTTTGCTCCCAGCACTGCAGGTTTACTGGTGTTTCCTTGAGTTTAGTAGAATATTAGGTAGATTTCAGGCTCTTCACCTGTGGAACCAGCTCTCAGTTTTAGTCCATGAGGTACAGTAGACACCCTGTCTACTTTTAAGACGAGACGTCAAACTTCCTTTTTGTTGAATCTTATAATTAAAGTGCAGCCAACTCTGTAGGCTGCAAGAGAACATACCTGTTTTTGCACACTCCACTACATTCTCCATCCATTCTCCAATCATTTGCTGTTATTTTACCTTTAACTTCTCTCTCTGCTTCCCTTCTAAATCAGACCTTGGGTTCTATTCAGCACTGACACCATTCTAAAGGGGGGTAATGCAGCTGATTTGCTGCTACTGGGAACTTTGTTTTCCTTCTATATATACAGTATATGACCCTGGTGTTTCTGTCATAGACATTGCTATAGGCTGAGCTTTGCTGGGACTTGCCGTCCTCTTTTAGACTTCTATAGGGGCTCAGAGGTCATCTGTTTAGCTGTGTTTCTCTCCTAGATGAAGCCACAACTTCCACAGTTACCCCTTTATGTTTCCCTCTGGCTCCATATCTCTGGGCAGAACAACCTTCTCACTAAGCCTGGTTCTCCTGGACGTTTCTTTGTGTTATAGTGGAGTTAACCTGTCCACTATCAGTACATGCTGATCCAGAATAAGCAAATTCTGCAAGTCAATAAACTAATAAACAAATGCAATTTGTGTGCTTTCCTATCTGAGGAAACCGCTTAACCAATCGGTCTGTGTGATTTGATGGATTTGACAAAAATAAGATGAATTGAATTGGAAGTGCATATCATTTAAATGCGCTAAACATTGCATTAGTTTCCGCTTAAGCACAGAAATAAGTTGTGATCATGATTTTTAGTTACTGTTAGGCAGAAATTATATTTTTCACACATTAAAGGGAAAAAAGAAACAATCAGAATGTGTCAACAATGTGTACCTCTAACATATTATTTTACAAACCTACTATTAATGCTTACTGCTGAGAAGTAAAAGCATGATTAAAATTCAGACTTTGCCCACAACCCGTAACAACTATGATACCCTATAGAACTCTTCATCATTACCATTAAATCCATTTATGGCAAAAACAAAACACTAAATATAATTTAAAATTTAAAGGTAAACTCTATAATTTTTTACAGTAGCATGGTTATTTTTGTGGATTTGATGAGTTTGATGGTGGCAGAATATAAAAAATATATATATTTTTTTAGCATCTATATTTTAAGAGGGATTATGGGACTTGGACAGAGGAAGTAAAGCTTAAAGAGTTAAAGATTTTTCTGATGTGTCCTCCTGAGAATTTAACCATCATATCTTCTCAAGGTCCACATGTGTTCTTCTTCCCCAGAGCAACAACATGCAGGGTAGTGAAATAGTGAAGATGAATCCTGCAGTGTAGGAGCACACTGTCCACTAGAGAACTGGTACTGCCATGCAACAGCCTAATGCTTTTCCTGGAAATGAAAACCATACAGTGATAAAGCTTCAAGTGGAGGCCAAAGGGGGTGTTTACTTATCCAGATTACCAGAGATTATATCCATTTTGTTCATGGCTATCTCTGTCTTCAATTCATCCTCCTCTGGGTCCATAAAGACCAACAGCAAATTTTGAACAACATTACACATCTCTTTAAGTGGCCACACAGCAGCTTTTCAGAGCAAACCACTTTTAAAGCTACTTTTTGGTGGTTTAAGTAAAGGATAACACTGATTATTAAATAAAGTTTGGTTTAAATATTACACTGATCATGTAAATATATTTATATTGTTTTACATTTACATTTATTTGTAAGTCTACAGCATGGCCACTAGAGGGAGTACACTGATCAGACATACAATACCTCAACTTTATGATTTTGCTCTAAATAAAATAAAGTGACATTTATTACCAGTCAGTTTATTAAAGCCCTCTTTTTCACTGAATATCTTTCCGACCCTTCTATAGCGATTGATTTATAGCTGAACATAGGTTATTAGAATACTCTTGGACAAAATAAATGAGTTTGACAGAATTCAACCAGAGGTGCGAAGGCTGGATCAACTGCAGGTAACTTCAGACATGGTCAAAGATGACCTCCCAGCCAGGTGGAATAAAAAAAAAACCATTAACCTCATGGTCACTGAGTCCATATGAGTCTTAAAGACATAAAAAAGGTACAGAAAGGGAAAAAGGCAGTGGAAGGAAAGTTTTCAATAAGATTGATGAAAGATTGCTTTCAGTTTCCTTCATAATCCATCATAGAGTTGCAACATGTTATTTTCTCTTGACAGAAAGAAGCCGTGCTGCATATGCAAAAACCGGATGCCCCACTTCCAGAGAAAAAAGCCAGCAGATTCCACGGCTACACCTGGATTTCTTTTTACAGTACGGGTGTATTATATCTTGGTTTAAAGCAGTGTTACAGTTACTGTTAGTAGATAAGGTTTACATGTATCTATCAATTAGTTTAGCTAAAACATGAGGTTTTATCGTAGCTGAAAAAGAGGAAAACTGTAACAGCTTTTACTACTGTCCCTATAAATATAAAACAGATAACATATTTGAATCTAAAATGTGATGATCAGTAGACATATTTGAATAAAAAATATCATGATTCTATCATTACATGCCATAATGCAGTTGTCATATACATTAGTAAATAATTAGGCATTCACATATAGTTAGGAAAACAATTTAGTTGCAAAATGTTTATTTACAGTATACAGTTGTGGTTTTCCAAAGTGTTTTTTAAGGCCCAGTCTCTTCAAATGTAAACTCTTTACTAGGAATGCATGAACTGCAAATCCGATTACAAAATAATAGTTAATTGGCTCACAGATGCTTCCATTTTTTCTTAGTTATTGTAAGGCTACTGTATTTTGGTCTTTGAAATCTTTATATAAGTAAGGCCTTAACACCCAGGCAAATGAATACAATTTGCATCTGATTAAAGCTGATTAAGAGCACCAATATCATAAGATATTTTTTTTAATGAAAATCAATTTAATCTCTTCTTTAATCTTTTCCCTTTAATTTTTTAATTCAATTTCTTTGAATTAGCTTCCTACCAATGAAACAGTGCAAATTAGCATTTTGACCTGGTTTGTAAATTAACACACTAATTATATACCTTGAGATACTTAAGTTTTTTTCTTTCTTTAAAATCTTTCTCTTCTTACCTTTTTAGTTGTATTATTTTGTTCTATTTTTTGGTTAGTTTTGTTAAAATTTTCTGTGTATCTTGGGCTTACGTAGCGCAACATTCCACAGGCTGGCAAATACTTTAAATATGTGTATAAATCCCTGATTCATATTGTCTGTTTTGTATCAATATAATAGAAAATCTTTAAAGAGGGTACTCAAAAAAAATAAAGTAACACAATAATTGATTACAACATATGTTTACGTAATTGGCACCCTGATATATTTAATAGGTTTATTTGTTCCGTGCAGCTAGCCTTAAGCCAAGTTAACAGCTAGGCTTACTTTATTCTGGTACTCTGCCAGCGGTGACACTGATCAGTGCTTCTGATATCTACTAATATAAATAGCTTTATGTTCTTGAACTATTTCAACATTATTATGGTAGCCCATTTTTGCATTTATAAATTTCCATGTGGATGTTGTTACTGTTTGATGTATTTTTATAGACACTGTTGTTCTAAGCTTGATCAAAAGGCCTTGAATAGACCATTGCATGTGTTACTCATATTTATGTTAAATGGGTGAACTGTTGAGAGTACTTTAATTCTCTATCAAATCACATTCATTGACTGATCTCCACCATGTTGAAACGTTTTATTTTGTAGCTAGGAACATAACTGACCTTTTCTTTAATATGTTTTTTTTTGTAATTTCCATATAGAGTGATTTATATTTTCAGTTCTGTTGAAAGAAATGTAGGCTTCTTATTCCCTCCTGTTGCTATGGTGGATTGTATTTTCTGCCCTCTATTGAGAAGGGTCCCATATTCTGGGCTTACTTACTGAGTCCAATTAGCTGATGGATCAGCTGTTCTGAAATAAAAAAAATCCTTAATATTACAAAACAGAATAAGTCAAATAACTGCACTTTATTCAGAATAGATTCATCCTACTCCCTGAAACAGGGCATCAATGGTTAGGTACCTGTCATTTTATTTTACTCAATTTGTAACAAATGTAAACTTTATTAAGGATGTTTTATATGGGATCACAAATGATAAAAAAAGATCAACTGTCTGATCATCTGTTTTATAGAATCTGTTCTTTAATGTTATTTTCATAAATGTTTGCTTATTAAGACCAAACCATCAAGTACCTCCTTTATAATAGCATAGCTTTACTTTTCTACTACTACTTCCTGTCCCCCTCCAATAACAGAAATGACAAAAAAGAAAAAAAATACTCTTAAGCTCCAAATTTAAAACCTTTAATCTTTGCCAGTTGTTATGTGTACCTGTTTTGTTTAAATAAAACCCCTACTAAAAGTAACTTCTTTATAATACAGCATATGTGAATATCCTTTTATGCTGTAAAGAATATTTTCAAACTTTTTCAAAATACATATATTGTAATATTTTTAACATGACAGCAGGTGGAGCTATTGTGCTTTTGCAACGGACGTAATTACACGTGTTTTACATTTCTATGCCACTTCAGATGGTTTTCTGGATAACATCTCAGGTAATTTTTTTGGACTTCTAAGACAATAAACCAAAACAGCTTTATGCATTAGGTTTTCTAAAAAAAAAAAAAAAAAAACAGACTTCATAGCCTCTGGAGCAACTTTAATTCAACCAGAAGAGACTCACACAGAGAAAGATGCAATTAGAAAGATTTTATTGAGCAAAAGTTTCTCAAATCTCATCAAACGGAAAATGACAAGATTATTGTTATCAAAAACAGTTTTCAGAAAAAAGCATTTATGCCTAAACTGTTTACATTCTGGGTTTATTCAACCTTCTGTGTGAAATTACAGAACTGATAAATGCAAATTTGATAGAAAACAGATAGGTTTATTTCTGCATTTGCTGTTGTCGTTTTCTATATGAATACCAGGAAATAACCATGTGATGCATACTGAGGTACATAAATAGACTTTGCATTTTATACTGTTAACCAATATACTACCACAGGGTTTAATCAGACATTTCAAATTAAAGCAAAAGAACATCAAATATTGAGTAAATATTGAAAATTGCAAACAAAAAATTCATTTGATAGTTTTCTAACCGATTACATGCCAGATGACTTACAGAAATAAAGCTTTTTGTGGGAGTGCACAGTTATTCCTTTCAGTGGAACTACAATGGTCACAACCAGCCTCCATATCGAAGCTTATTGGGCAGATAGATGTTGGTAAGGAAGTCAGGAGCAATGGAGGACAGGGACTGTATTTCAGCCTTAACTTTATTCTGCTGCATCAGTTCCATCTAAAACAGAAACACATAACTTTAAGAGGAATGGAAAACAAAGCTATAGATAAACCTATTCTACAGAATGATTTAAGTATGTAAAAAAATAAAAATGTAGATTTACACACCAGCCTGTGATGCTAATGTTGCACATAGAACAAATACAAATTATGTCTATTGGTAAAATTCACTTTTTTTCCTTTTTGGATAACTTTAATGAAGAATCTACATTATTCAGTCAGATCTGGTCTAAAGCAAACCGTATGCAAACAGGCCAGAACCTAATCAGTTGTGTTTATCTAATGTGTTGGACATCAAATACACCAATACATATACTGCTAATGAAGTTTCAGACGTTAGAAATATGGCCAATTTGAAAAAAAATATTGAATCCTTAGAAATATTCTAGGTTAAAAAAGTAAAGGTTAGGTGAGGATCTGAATCACTTAGAGAGATAGTTCACAAGTTTCAGTAAAAGGCCAAGCTGCCTTGATGTGGCTTATAGAGGAAGCTAGCAACGCCATTACAGACTCCAAAGCACATGAGGTTTTATTTCCAGTTTGCTCACATCTATGAACCCCATCCAAAGAGGTGCTGAGCAGCAACAGGAACTTTTTCGGACAGGATCAGCAACCAATATTTGTGAAATAAGAAGAATGATCTAAATGATAAAAACACCATGCCTACTGTGAAGTGTGGTGGTGCCTCTGTAAAGCTATGGGGCCCCTGTGCTTCCTCAGGCACTGGAAACCTGTAGCTTTAAAGGAAATGATGGATTTGAAATAATATCAGGAAATCCCTGGATAAAATGTCAGTTTGGCAGTTGAACATTGGCTCCTCCACCAAGGCAGTGATTCTAAGCACATCTCAAACAGGGGCGTAGCTAATGAAAGCCAGTGTATCGTTGGCCACCTCTGGAACTTTAGCGGACACACATGGAGCAGCAAAAAGACTGACCGGCTACTAAACTAGCATGGATAAGAAAAACCCTAAAAATTCTAGGGAGAATAAAAGTTAAATAAAAAATGCAGAGGTTAGCTTCAATTGCAACTTTTAATATTGCACAAAGGAACTTAGTCATCAGAATGTGGTAACTGACCATAAGGATATTTTTTTGCCATTTTGAATCACATAAGAAGTCCAAGAACACAGTCTGTCCATTTTAGTTTCCAGACATTTACTTCATGAGATCCTTTTACATTTCAGGGACTTAGGGCGATACCTGGAATTTTAAACTCTCTTTGCGTCTTTAAAAACAATTTTACCAGAGTAATTTTAAATTTTTGGGGTGAAACTTTGCAAAATAAAATGCTCTGGTGAGGGAATAGGACTTTGAGATTATCATGGGATTGGTGAGGGGAAGGGCTGACACAAACATAACTTTAGGTTGTTTTTAGTGAGAATGAAGCTGTGCAAGACTCAAATATCTAACCCACTAATGCAGCTTAAATGCAAAATATGGATGTTTTTTGGGGAGCTCCGTTCCTGCTTCGTTTACACCCAACAGCTGACAGGGTGGTTGAGCCTGTTCTCCAGTTTTCACCTTTCAGTAGGACTCACCAATGACTGAAGGAAACATACGGCTATAATCCAGGCATCTAACAGTCAAATCTTGTTTCAGGTTTTCTTTTGTCATCAAGTGAATTCTTTGGCAACATGGAAACTGAGCTTTTAACATATACCTACTGTGAAAACAACTGCTGCAGTTCAGCAAAGATTAATAAAAACAAAATGGAGAAAAACTCCAGGCTTCCAACTTTCATATCTATGGTTAAAGGTTTCTTATTGCTGCCGTGCACTGGACTGGAGATGTAAGGGAGTTTTCTTAACATTCCAGTAGCTGTCTAGTAAAGAAACTACTCAACTTTATAAAGCTGTAGGCAGGCAAGCTTTATTTTAGCGAATGTTCATCTTGGAGCGAAAGTTTGGAACCACTGAAAGTGCTCTTCACCATTTTGCTCCTACTTTGCCTTGCCTTCTGGCTGGATTTTTTGTGTGAAAAAAGCTAGAGAGTGAAGAACACCAAAAAGGATTGTATGTGACGTCAAACCATATTAAGTCTAAAAAGATACCATTAGTTCTTTGCATTGTCTTTTCTTAGTTCTGTCTATGCGCTAGTATTGCTCCAATAAGAAAGCTGCAAAGAGCTAATATTCACATTGAGCTGTATAAAGTACTACAGGCTCTAGTTGTAATGAAAAATGAAATATGGTGTTTGCAGAAACCACTTGCCTTGTAGTGCAAATGCATGCTAACTGGAATGTTTTACCAATATACCCAATTTGCAGTGAATATAAACAATTAAAACTTCCACCATTATCTCTATTTATTTTCACTCACTTCTTTGCACCAGTCTGGTTGGCTGGTTAAGTATGGTCTCTTCATCAAACTGTTGAGTTTGCTTTCATCTCTCTTGGTAAGAGGAATCAGGGACTCTGCAGGAATCCTTAACCTAAAAAGGACATTTTCATTTCAGATTGATTTCCTAAAACAGTACAATTTCATTTCTCCCAAAAACAAAAAATAAAAAATTACATATCCACACTTCAGGGCACAAAATAAGCAGTTACCTCAGAGAGAAAACAAATAAAAAAAAATGCATAAACTACAAATAAATATATCTCAGAAAGCCATTATTTTTCTAAATTTGTTGAAATTGATATATACTTAAAATGTCATACAGTTTCAAGTGCAGTTCCTTAAATGGGGAAAAAAAGAAGTAAACAGCAACTGAAACCAAAACAAACAATCTAAATGCCCTCTGAATATGATTCCAATTGAAGGCAGGAGGAGGAAGAAGGAAGTAGCAAATTTCAATTCCAAACCTCTGTAGGTCAGAGGGGAGAAGGCCAAGCCACATAACGCTTGGGACGGTCAGACTGTGGGCCTCAAATGACATTGCCTGTGGAAAACCCAAACTACATTACACAGAATCCCTACAATATACAAGTTTTCAATATGATTGAAGTAAAACAGGAATGGAAACATACAGTCAATAAAGATATAGTTAGTTAATCATCTACAAAGCCGGTGTAAATATGTATTTTGAGGCCTTTTTCAGACAGTAAAAAAGGGCACTGTATAAATTCTAGAGCAGAAAAATGACAACACTCACCACCGATCCATACTTGTAGATACACATGATCTCAATGCCTAAAAAAAAAAAAGAAACACTGACAGACCAGAGGAATTATCCCCAGAGATGTGCAACATATTTTTGAACCATTACATATGCGTCTGGCCATGCAACTGGAGCAAGGTTGAAAGCTTTGACGGTGACAGAAGAGGGAATAACAGCCAAACTAGACACAGTTCTTTGCATAAGTCTGTCGTACCTCCTAACCCCCCCCCCACTTCTTTTATGTTACACCCACCAACCTACAAGGATTTTATTGGGATCTTATGTGACACAAAATAACATATCTGTGAGGTAAAGTAAAATCTGAAAAGTGTGGTGAAAATCAACATGTAACCAAGAACACACCAACCCCACTGTGAAACATGCTGATGGATTAATCATGCCATGACGATGTTTCCCAACCGGAGACAGGGAAGCTGGTCAGAATTAAAGGGAAGATGGCCTTAATAGAGAGCATTCCTCAAAGAGAACACATCAACATGCAAGAGATTTGAGATGGAAACAGGGATCAGCTTCATAATCCTAAAAGTCTGAGCTGCAATCAAATAGTTTTATCAAGATACATTTATGTGTAAATGTGGCCCAATTAGAGCCCTAAAAACAACAAAAAACCTATTAGAAGTTTAAACGTTTCTGTCTAGTTGGACATGAATCCCTATATTTGAAAAAAATAATTAGCAGGAATGTGCAAAATGCTAAAACAATAGATGCTTAAAGCTTTTAATATTTTTTATGGTAAAAGAGAAAAAAAACGGGTAATTTTTCCTTCCACTTCCCAACCCCGCATTTGATTAGTCTTTTAAACTACATAAGAGAATGTGGCTATACAATTTCAAAGGGTGGGATATATTTTTATTTACCGTAGCCCAACAAACTGCATAGCTGCTAATGTGCTGACTTGACAAAAAAATAAAACACAGCTGTGTCCCTGTAGAGATTAAAGGACAGCCGTTTGATAGCTGTGAGGAGCCATCTGAACCATGTGTTAGCCTTACCCCGAAATCCCACATCCTCTGTCACCGCCCCATCCCGCTGCGCTCCAGACCTCCTGCGCAAAGCAAAGCCTACAGCCTTCGCTGTTCCTCCCGTCCTGCTCCACTCCGACTTCCTCGGAGTTTGAGGAGAGCATGCACGATATTATTATTAAATTCATAGGAGCAAAGCAAGCGAAAATTGAAAAAAAAAATCCCCATCAGCATCCAGCAAATGTTCAGTTTCTGCCCAAATATTTTCTTTTTGTTGTAGATTTTTGTAACGGTGATAACTAGGATAATCCAAAACTGCCTTCTTATGAACTTTGTTCTTTACTTCCAATCTCAGAATCTCTTCATCTATTCCTGCAATAGAAGTTTCTTTTGACTGGATTTGATTAAACTTTTAAGCCCCTCGGTATAAAACAAATATTTTGATGGAGCTGAGAAATCTCCTTCCTGGTATGTTGAAGAACCAATAGTTTGCATCTAATCTTTTAAATAAACAGTGTTAGTTTTTTGGAATATATAAGAATTATGCTATCATTTCTAGTTACTGGTCTGTCGTTACTATATTTTACTTTGACAAACCGGATCTTCTCAACGTTCTTTTTACGTTTTGGTGCGATTGCAATTGCGGATCTTGACCTGGCCGGACCGAAGCGGAGCAAAAAATAGCTTGGCTCTGTATTTTAAAAGTGACGGACGGAGAAGACGTACATGGACGGTGACGTGCAGAGGAGAGGCAGTGGACGTGGAACAGCTCTCCTTGTTTAACATGACAGACAAGTGCTCCACACTACGTACGTGAGCGGAGCGTATGAGAGTATGTGGAATCTGGGGTTAAGCTGATCTGCATTCAGATAAATCATCTGTACCATGAGGGTCAGCATCCACCAGGGCGAAGATGGGAATGTGCAGAGTGTCCCACAGTTTTCTCACCATCAGTCTGCTGTTTACGTCTGGCACACCTTTACCCTGAATCACATAAAATAATCTTCAATTATTGTCTCAAGTTGGGTAAATAAAAAATCCATGGCTTGGTAAAATACAACAAACTGTGATCATGATGCAAGGAGAAAGTTTTGCGCAGAAGTTGTCATCCAGCAGCCTCTGGAATGTTGCATCCTTCTCTATGATCAGGATGAATTTAGCTGATGATACAATATCTGTACAGTAAATAATTAAGCTCATAATGTTTTGTCCATAAAAAAAGACAGTTTGTTCAATTTATTCCCTTAAGCTTAGTTGGCTTTTAAAGGATACTTTTAATTCCAGCGATGTTTGAAGAAACTGAAACAGCCTAAAAAAAAACCACACAAACACAAAAAAGCAAGGCTCTAAATATTTGATTATGAAGGGCAAACCTTTGGAGAGTGAGCTTGATTCACCAAAAAGTTTCATGTGGAGTTGCTGACACATTTGAAAGCTTTACAGTAAATTTACATTGCATGTTGTAATGAGACATGCACTGAGATTGGTCCTGTCAACAGTACATGACCATGTGCTAAGCTGGTGCTTGTAAAATGCTGGGAAAAAAAAAAAAAAAAAAAACTGGCAATGGAGCAGAAAATAAAAGAGGCTGAGTTGCTTGCTTAAATAAATGGGGCTGTATAATGTATAACAGGGGATTAGAACACATTAAAGCACAACATTTGTCACAAAGTGATTGATCGCAGATAATCTAAATAGGAAGATGATTTACATTTGACACATGGAGTCAATAAGAGTTTTTATGATGCTTCTGAAAATATGCTGACAGAGAATCATGGTTCAGAGATTGACTATTAAGATATGCAAGCTGATTTAGAGACATCACTGTTAGTTCTCATCCCATTATAATAATGTTTCTCCTTTGTTTTTAATATCAATAACAATCATAGACAACAGAATATACGTTAATATAGGTAATCTAAGTTATTAGATTGTTTTCATCCTTATCTTTCTTCATGCATAACAGAAACCTGTACTGGAAAAAACAAAACAACAACAACTATTGACTGTTTTGCAAATCGAATAATCAGTCAGTTATTTAAAAAGAAAATAGATTAATAATCGGATAGCAATAGGTTTGTTAAAAAAGATCCTTTACTAAATTAAACTAAGTGAAACTAAAACATTTAAACTTGGGTTCTGCATAGAGCATTTTGACAAACATTTTTTTTTTTACTTAAATGCAAAATGCTTATTTATTTTTTTCAATTTTGATATAATTACTGCTCTAAGTGGGTCTGTCAGAGGCAAATTTTACAGTCTTTATTCACTAATTAACAATTAATCGATTACTAAATTAGTCGACTTCAGTAATTGATTGATCACGATTAATCCAATTAACTATTTCAGCTCTATTGTGAAGTTCATTTAGTGTGTCCTGCAGGTCATTATTCAGATGCAGTAATAAGTTATACACACTAGATTAACATTTGATGTAGGGAGATTCTATTTTTAGTGCAATTAGAAAAAGCGAGGAACTTACAGCAGAGCTGGGGTGACAGTCAATCTTTGTTCCATCCTCCTCCAAATAGCACAGATCGCCAGAAATCAAGCCCTTGGATGTGGCCAACTACAGCCCAAAGAAACACAAACACACTGGCGCATACTGTACAACATGACATATGGTTATACAAGCCTTTTTGCAGCACTGACTTTTTGAACTCCATTTCTGTTTGATCAGTAAAACCATACTTACTCCACAGGTGTTTCCTGAACTATAAGGTGAAGCATAATTGAAATATGGTTCTAATCTAAAGGATTTACACATGTTAGATTTTAGCTAATATCGCAAAGAATTCTGCTACAAGCTTTTAATATAAGAGGTTTGAAATTTCTGCCAAGCAGTCACTGAATTATGTAAACCATCTGTCAAACTGAAATCAATATGCACACTCACCACATGTAGTGATCTGCGAGGAACCTTCAGCATGCAGGAGATGTCATCTATTATACTGTCCACAGTTCTTTGTGACCCAAACAGCTGTGTGTTGTTGTAATATATGTCTCTGTAGAAGAAAACTTCAAAGTGAGCACATTAAAAAATGTTTCATTGTCGCGACAAAACAAACTATACGTTTTTTTTTTTTTCTTTCCGTCTTAAATTTACCTTTTCGTTGCATAAGAGTTGCTCTGCACTAGTCTGTAGATGACGGAAAGAATCTTCAGAATTTGTGCTTTGAATAGAAAAAGATTTTGTTATTTATATTTTACTCACAATCATCAATTCTTTTCTAGTTTTAAAAGACTGGCTGAGAAAAGAGACACAGAAGACAACTGGCACTTCTCCATGTGAACTGATGCTTAAAAGCCTCTTTCAACATGTTCCGTCTCTGCCAATTTGTCACCTAAAACCAATTCTGACTTTTACTGCCATCTGTGCAGTTTGTTTATATGCTTATAATGGATACAAATTAAAGCCACATGAAAAACCTCACAGCTGGAAAATGATTTAGACTAAAAACAAGCGGGAGAGTAGAATTTGAAGCTGATGTGTGAGAAGTGTGTCCATCTTCTTACCAAACTTAGAAACAGACGAAGGACAGTCGCTCCTAACAGAGGTGGCAGAACGCTCTGAACTCATCTGAAGCCCGACGACGCTGTCAAAACTTATTGTTGGAAAAAACAAAAAAGTAATTTAAGCCAAATTACAATACATTATATGCTGCCTGACCCAGAGTTTTCATAAAAAGCCTTCTTAAAGAAGACATTTTCCAAAATAAACTAGGTGAAACTTTTCCACTTGAGGAATTCTGGATTGAGCATACTGACAGACAAAAATCTTAAATCCAACGTGTTTATAGATTTTTTGATACAATTTTAATATTATTACTGCTCTACATGGGTTTCTCTGTCAGCTAAATGTTTTAGAATCCCTATACTCCAGTTAACGATTAATCGATAACTGAATTAGTAGACGATTAGTTCAATAATCAATTAATCCGATTAAATGTTTCAGTCCCAACATTTTTACATCATTATAAGTTCAAATGATGTTTACCTGACATTGGCCCAACTGGATCTGTTTGGCAGTTCAAGGACAGGCACTTCATCTCTGGAAAGACTGGTCACCACTCCCAGGATTACGCCTTCAATTTGAGCTAAAATTTCATCTCTGGATTAAGGGGAAAAAATAAAAAAACAAAAATTTCATAAAAAATAACAACAACCAATTGACCGTCGAAGTTAACCGAATACAGCCATCTGTGACAAAAACAGCAACCATGTCTCAGTGTTCCACACCTTGGCTTCCCTAGTTCAGACTAACATCAATTATCACTTTTTGTTTTAAGATTTATGTTCAAAACTAATAAAAAGCTTTTATTCATTTGCACTTTTATTTCAGGTCAATTCCCATAAGAGAGCAAAAGCAGGTTTTTAAGTAATTTCTATCATTTTTAATATGTTTTAATTAAGTAGCAGGAGACACAAATATGTTTATAAAGATAAACTGTGGAATTTGGTTTTACAGTAAGCCACAATGTCTTAATCTTTTGAGTTTTTGAATTTCATTTTTAAACCAAATCAAAACAAATGTTTGAGTATAAAAAAATAAATAAATCTAAATCTTTTGCTATCTGTTCTTTGGCAAAACCAATAATACTAAAAGATCACTAATAAACTCATGGATGCATATCATCAAAGCAATTTTCTTAAATATGTGGCTTTTTAGTTCTGTAAGAAAATGCACACATACAAGATTCTCCCATATCCTGTTTAGTTTGGACTACAGTTTTCTGGTCTAATACAACAATTTGTAAACCATAAGATGAAGCACTCATTCAGAATAAACATTTCTATAGCCAGAGCTATAGAAACGTTTGTAGAGAGGGGTAAAGTTAGGAAAAGTTTCAACAATTTTACTTAAGTAAAAGTAGCAATGAATGCTTTAACATATTTTTACAGAAGAAAAAAAATAAAACCAAGAAACGGATTGTAATTTTCATTTAATTAATTTATTTATTTGACAGGGACAGTGTATTTTAAAAAGCATTCCTGCAAATGCACCAGAATTAGCCAAAAGGCTATTTTTTATCTGTTGTCCCTGGAAAGATCTTAAACTTGTCTAACTAAAAAAACACAACAGTAAGCATTTTACAATGAAAAATACAAGTATAAAAAGACATAAAAACATCTATTACTCTTCAAAACTGATTTAAAAATACAGAATAAAAACAATTAAAATAATTTTAAAAAAGTATTCGGTAAGAAGGCAATCTAAATAATAACTGATTAAACTTCTAACAGCTAATCATAAGGATGGAAATATAAGTCGTGTATTGGTATTGTTAGACATTTCATATAATATAATTGACATTATATGCATGGATCTCATAGATATGCTGTACTTTGGCACCAGTAATAATGAGCCAAACAGCTTATGGGGCTCTAATTAGATCATATATGTGGTATTATAAAAGGATGTTGGATATATGTCAATTTTGTAGCTGATATACAGCATATAGCACAGTTTAATTTAATTTGTTTACTAAGGTTTATGTTCAAAAGAGTAAGATCATGAGTAATATTGCACTGTCATTCCAGTATATTTCCAGTTTGTACAAACTTTTATGTATTTATTTACTATTCTGTTAGTTAATCGTTTGATGGTAATAATTAAAGATGTGATAAAATGACTAGAAGATTACACAAACGGGTTAAAAATAACTTGCCATGTTGTGAAGCTGTTATCAGTAATGGCTAGCTAAATGGTTTTCAGTAACAAGCAGGAGTGAAGTTAAACTTACTGACTGATTTCCCTAACAGCCCGTTGAACCTCCTCCATAGGATCGTTCAACAGCTGAACGCGAAGCTTTTCAATTTCAGAGAAAAACTGCGCTTCAAAAGAACTCATTTAGTGGGTTTTTTATCTTCAAAAGTAGCAGCTAATTCCTGTTAGCAAGCAAGGTTAGCTAAGCGCAAATCTCGCGGTACGCGCAGCTGTAACTGATTGCCTCGTGCCTCATTAGACGAGGAAAACTAAAATTGACGCATTCTTTTTATGACCATCGTACACCAGGACAAAAAAACAAAACAAAACAAAAAACATTTAATTTCACATAAAATAATAGAAAATATACTTTTTAAGCTATCTCAGCATAGCTTTTAAAATTAAAGTTTTTATACAACAAACTTACATCCCTCTGTTAATTTTCAAAACCATTTTAACCCTTTATAGGGCACTCAGTGAAATTCTTTGAAAATCCAAATTATAATGATTAACAGTGTTATTAGAATCCAGGAAAATACTTTCACTTTTAAAAAAATGTGATATTTTGATGGGAAAAAAAAATTTATGTCAATGTAATAAAAAGAAACGCCAACTTGCCCGAATATATTAAGAAAAATAAAAAAAAGTACTTCTATAAGAAATTCATTAAAAACACTCTGAGTGTGAAGGAAACATTGTTTTTGGTCCAACATAACCTTAGAGGCATTAATGCTGATACTGGCACTTAATTTTTTTAGTTTATAAACCTAAATCTAATTGTTAACTAGGCTTATTAACTTTTTAACTTTACTTTTTAACTTTTGAATTACCTTTTTTCCTCAACTTAATTTACAGTAGGTAATATATCATTCAAGGGCTAATCTAATTGGTCAGATGCCAATTAGATTCACCCTAATCTAACGGGCATGGGGGTGGGGGGGATTGTAAGGGGTATGCAAGTTATCAAAAAACTGTAACTTTTTAAAATTGACTTTTTTGTGATGTACTCTTATTAAAGCGTAATTTATCTGCAGATAATGATTATATATTTGCCTATATGAGTAGGATTTATGGGGATTTCAATGATTCAAACTAATGTAAAATACAGGATTTCAGAGACATGGGAAGAATTGAGCTGAAACTTTTATTTTTTAAACTGTCATTATTCGCTAGGCATAGATTGCCATTGAATAAACAGGGCTACCAATACAAACAGTTTTTTTTTTATTTTGTTTTTTTTTTTTTAAATATATATTACTTTTAAGCTACCATGAGCCCCCCATTATCTACATAGATATTTAACCAATTTAACTGCATCATTGACATTTTATTCAAAAATATGTATATTTTGATACAATTTGACTATTCACTATATCTTCCTGAGCCCAGAACACACATGAACACAAACACATCAGAGGCAAATGCACACATGCACTCAGACGTAAATCTCCTCTCCCTATGCTAACCCGATTAGCAGTTTTATATTAATGGGGACAGCTGCAACAGCATCCAGTCAGCCATGATAAAGTTTCATGTTTTGTGTTTACATATAGCCTGGCCAGCCAGATATATACATCGTTTACACCATGTGTCAGTCTGGTTGAGTGCCGATACGGCTAGATTTCAAAGGTGGCATTAACAGGTTGAGATAGGTTAGAGCCATTCAGATGTGACAATATATTGTACAAAAACAGGTTAACCTGCATTCAGAAATTGTTCATATATGGGTGCTCAAGTCCAGGGGCAGAGCTAGATGGGGGGGCCAGGGGTGACCATGGCCACCCTTAGCCAATGACTGGCCACCCCTACCATTTTTCCCCTCAAATACAGGCGGCGGCAGCAGTAATACTCTCAAGGGGAATGTTCAAACTTATTAAACATTTAAATTTTTCGTATATTAAAAATTACTATCAATATCAACATCAATATACCATCATTAAAGATAATAAATACAGAATTCATGCTCTTTTCAGAAATAAATTTTGTGTTATTCGGGGTAAAGAGAAAATGATGTGTCTCTGTAACCCAAACCCTCTCATCTAGGAGTCTTCAGTGAAATCATAGATAAATAACTACTTTAATAACTTAAAAAAATCATTGAATGTGGATATTAGTACATTTGAATATAATTTTTTTGTAGAATGATTATTCATAAAAGTAGAAGAGGACTGGACTTGAACACCACTTAGTAATCGTGTTTGACCCTCTCTATTCGGATACCCTCAGCATTTGAAAGCAATTGCCTTCATATTGGACCTGTGTGTATTATCAACTCAGTATACATCCACAGGTTCTGTTGGGATTTTGGGGGGTCGTTAGCATTAGGGAATTGGCAGCATCTATAGGCCAAGGAGCTCTGCAGACAGATCAGGGCAAAATCCTGCAAATATGGAGTGTGTGGCACCACTACAGGGCTGTCCATCAACATTTTACAGAATAGGAAAAGGGAAGGTCAGAGAAACAGCAGAGATGTCAATGTTAAACCCTAAAGAGGCTGCATAGATTTGTAGTCGAGTTGGAAGAATCTGTTGTGAAGCTAATTAATGCCCTCAAATATCCCGGCCCTAATAGGAACGTTTTAATAACAAAAACATTAAATTCTGATTACTACGGTAATAATTGGTGGTGGAATCATGCTGTGGGGTGCATTTCAATAGCAGAGGTAGTGAAGCCAATTAGAGCAAATGTGGAGAAGGAAACATGTGCCAAAATGGTAAAAAAAAAAAAAAAAAAGTTAAGAAATAAATAAAAAAGAACCTGAATAAGGTTTAAGGTTCACTATCTAACCATATTCTTCTGACTGGTCATGGCCCAGACCTAAGATAAAGAAGAATCTGTGCCATGACAGAGATTTGCCATTTTCGAGCAAAGAAAGCAAATATTTAGTCTCTTAATATGTAAAGTTAGTTATGAAACAGTTGGCAACTATTTTTGGTTGGAGTTGTAACAACATGCTGGGTTATCTATACATTTTCCGTCATGCTTATCCCTACTGGGTTTCGATAGGTGCTGCCTAGCTGCAACTGTCAATTGGCAAGAGATGGGGTACACCAGTCTATTGCAGGGCAGCACAGAGACACACAGGGCAGACATACATTCACACACACACTCACACCTAAGGAGAATTTAGAGAAGCCATTTAACTTATCAGTTATGTTTTTGGACTGTGGGAGGAAGCTGGAGTCCCCGGAGAGAACCCATGCATGCACAGGGAGAACATGCAAACTCCATGCAGAAAGAATGCGGGGCAGGAATCAAACCTGGAACCTTGGCAGCAGTCCTACCCACTGCTTTACTGTGCAGCCCCTGGTTTATGAGTCTCTTTAAAAAAATAAAAATAAATAAAGAAAGAAAACTAAAAAAAATCACATGTTCTTTTTAAAATACATTAAATCATATGGAGAACATAAAAATTATGCTTGTGTTTAACACTTTTGAATAGCATTCTTAAATACACTTTTAATAATGTAATATGTATTTATTAATTTTTTTTTTTCATTTTACAAAGTGGAAGTTAGTATCCATTTCAAAGCTCTGTCCATTATTTAGATCCAAGAATGTGTGTAGGCTGCAGTGGTTTAAATGTTGGCTAGTATTAAGAAAAGCTTCTAACTCCCTCTGTGGACCTCAGTAATGAGACATTCTATCCAAGCCTGCTGCTACTTGTCTAAGGTGTGTCTACTGAATGCCCATCCCTCTGTTTGTGGGACTTTTGCTGTGGTTTCACAAGGATGTCAATTTAAACAACAAAACCATTTTTTGTAACAAACCAAGCATAATATTAATAATGGATAGCAAATAGAGGAAGCACCAATGCACCACATTAAAACAATAAGACTGTAATATTCACCTGCACTCCTGACTATTACTATTGTAACAACTGTTTACATGCATCTTGCACTACTCACCTTGACTCAATATTGATTTGCACTTCCGACTGTTTGCAATTACCTTCCACTGCACTTTAGTTTAGATAGCTTCTGTCCAAGCTTTATTTTTCATTTTATAGTAAAAGCCATCTGTATATTATGCTATTGTACATAACTAAAAACCCTTTTTATAGTATATCCATCTGTATATTATATTCGGTACATATCCAGCTGTAAATCTAGTTCATAACACTAGTTATCTATATATTATATTCAAAGGACAAATCTATTAGTAAAATTCTGTTTATAATGGTATTCATTTCTATATTTATCCAGTAGAAACCCATGTCCTGTATTTATGGAACCATTATTTATCCTGCATTTGCTGCTATTGCACTTCTTGTTAGACCTAAACTGCATTTTGTTGCATTGTACCTGTGTAATGACAATAAAGTTGAATCTAATCTAAATCTAATCTAAAAAAAACAAAAAACAGCAGTACATGAACTATTACGAAATTATAACATACAGTCTACTTCAACTCTCACCCTGAAAATGGAATTACATTTTAGTCTAGCCGTTTATTCTAATGTGTAACAGAATTGAACAATTTCATCAATGAATGACTAAATAAAAAAAAGTTTTTAAACGAATCCCTACCACTGCCCCTTTAAGTACACCGTGCTACCCCTAGGGGGAGCACCCCACCGTTTGGGAACCATTGCACTAATGAAGTGACCAATGCATGCATATATAACACCATACCGATAACAAGAACAAAATGCTAGTATCGGCCAAAATGTATTGGTTTATCTCTACATCTCACACTTGACCTGACCCTAATTATTTTCTAAAGCTACTTTGAAGGCCCCCCTTTCCTCTAAGTGGTTTTGACAATCTGCTTCCGTAGCAATGACTCTTAATTTCTTTTTAATTACTATCTTTTAGTGATGATGAGCAGCTCTTCACTCTAGCTGAAAACAGTCTTATTATGTGAAAGACTGCATGTTGCCAAAGTCTTTTTTTCATCTTTTCCAGAAAGCACCAAGCCCCCTGCTGTTCCTTTGGCTAGTGAGAGATTTGTGTCGAGTGTGAGGCCCTAACCTGAGGAGACAGAGTGCAACGAGTCATATGTATGTCTCGGGATGAGTGTTTGTACTGAGCGAGAGGAGGGAACTCAGGGGGAAGTAGGGGGCTGCAAGGTCAAAGAAAAGAAAAGAGCTAGGTGGAAGGAGGGGTGGGGGGGCTCTCTTTGCAGGTGAGGGGGATTAGCTGCAGCTAGAGGCCTATGGAAACTAAATACAGATCTGTCAAC